CCCCCCCCCCCGACTGCCAACCAAAATGTTTTTAAAATAAATTATATATATATAATGGTTAGCTCAATATTGCTGTCTCTTTCTCTCTCTCTCTCTCTCTCTCTCTCACTCTCTCTCTCTCTCTTCTCTAATCAGAACAGTGGCACAACAAAACTTGTTATTCGCCCCCCCCCCCCATGATCAGTCATTACGAGACACAGGTTATAGGAAGTACAAGTGATCACAGAATCACGTGACACAGGCTACAGGAAGTACAAGTGATCACAGTCATAACGTGAAACAGGCTACAGGAAATAAACAATTATCACAGTCATCCTGGGTGAAATATATAAATTTGATGCTATATTTTACATTTTTATTTCGTTGTCAATGAAAATGTTTATTAGCGTGATAATAATGAACTTCAATGAATGAATGAATTGAATAAGCAAGAATTCCCTACTTTTTTATTTTTTTAAACATTCATAAGAAAAATTATACTGGAAATGTTACCATTCCATTCGATTTTGTTATTCACAAAACTCTTCTCCTTCACAACATTTCTATTGTTAAAGCCTAAATCACGATCACGCAAGATCGAAATTGAACCGTTATCTATATTATTATGTTTATGCAGTGATTAAAGTAGTGACCTTATTCTCACACTAGCTGTTTCATTTCCCTACACCCCAATTGCCGAGTCATTTCCCTACACCCCAATTGCCGAGTCATTTCCCCTACACCCCAATTGCCGAGTCATTTCCCCTACACCACAATTGCCGAGTCATTTCCCTACACCCCAATTGCCGAGTCATTTCTTCTACACCACAATTGCCGAGTCATTTCCCTACACCCCAATTTCCGAGTCATTTCCCTACACCCCAATTGCCGAGTCATTTCCCCTACACCCCAATTGCCGAGTCATTTCCCTACACCCCAATTGCCGTGTCATTTCCCTACACCCCAATTGCCGAGTCATTTCCCCTACATCCCACTAGTCGTGTCATTTCCCCTACACCCCACTAGTCGTGTCATTTCCCCTACATCCCAATAGCCGAGTCATTTCCCCTACATCCCACTAGCCGTGTCATTTCCCCTACATCCCACTAACCGAGTCATTTTCCTACACCCCACTAGCCGTGTCATTTCCCCTATATCCCACTAGCCGTGTCATTTCCCCTACATCCCACTAGCCGTGTCATTTCCCCTACACCCCAATTGCCGTGTCATTTCCCCTACACCCCACTAGCCGTGTCATTTCCCCTACATCCCACTAGCCGTGTCATTTCCCCTACACCCCACTAGCTGTGTCATTTCCCTTACATCCCACTAGCCGTGTCATTTCCCCTACACCCCACTAGCCGTGTCATTTCCCCTACACCCCACTAGCCGTGTCATTTCCCCTACATCCCACTAGCCGTGTCATTTCCCCATACATCCCACTAGCCGTGTCACTTCCCCTACACCCCAATTGCCGTGTCATTCCACTTAAGTTACGCCTTAAATCAAGGCTGAAAATACAAACTTATTTAAAACTTTTTTTTTTGGTGTCTTTTTGATATTTAACCGGCGCCTCCGTTAGAAAGTCATAAATATACCTTCAGGTGTTTCGGGGTTTTTTTTTTTTTGGGGGGGGGGGGGGGCTGCTGAAGTGCTATAAACATTCTATGACGCAAAGCGTTGTAGATTTGGACGGTGTTAGCAGAAAATTACAGCCGACCGAGTTTCCCCCGTCTGCTGTGTGTTTGTGGGAGTTTTCGGACAGCATGAAAGTTATCCCAATGTCAAGGCTTATCTCGTGACTCGTCCCATCGCAGATGCAGCGCAGCAGTCCCCGGGACTTGTTATTATTTGTGTATCACTTCAACATTGGTGGATCACGGAGTCTGTGTCACCGGGATCCAATTAATGTAAGTCAATCAATTTGTTTAGTTCAAGGTTACATGACCATTTTTTTGTTTAATCTTCTTTATTTACTTTATTTTTCTTTGAAATTTCCTTATTAATTTTGAGAACTTTTATTTATGACCCATTCTCGCTCAACTATAAAATACTCCCTCTCTCCTTCTCCCTGTTTATCCAAAATATCTCGGTCACTATAGTCTTCACTTAATAAAGTGTGTGTGTTGTTGTTTTTTTCGTTTTAAACCATGGCGACACTAACCCAACCCCTTGAACCTGTATTGTTGTTGTTGTTTTTTCTGAAGGACCAACTGTATACACATCACCTATACCTGAGCGCATCTGTCTTACAGAGACACAAACACTCACAAATGCGTTTCTTTTCTTTAAAAAAAAAAAAAAATTTGCAAATTTTTTGCCAACCTGGGACGACAGTCTCAGAACTACACATTTCATGCCACGCTACCACAGACAGGTGTAGATTGTATTAATGTGTGGATAAGTAAGACACCCCGACGGCAGCAATTGTTGACTTTGTATAACGGAAAGACCCACTACCGACAGCTGTAGTTTTTTTTTTTTTATATGTAACAGCATGGCACAATGCACCAAAATGTAATCTATATACTATACACTACATGACTTTAAATTTATTTATTTAATATTTTCTTCGTTACAGAAGAGAGTCAATATTTTGTTGATCCCCCCCCTTCCTTTTCTCTCAATCCATTCTATTCCTCCAACATTCTCCCTTTCCCTCTTTTATTTTATCAATACCTCTCTCTTACTTTCATTTTTGGAGTCCAAAGTGACTGTCGTCCCCCCACCCCCCTCCACCCCCACACCCATTGTTTTTTCAAGCTGTCGCTCCATTTATTCTTCAGTAAATTCAAACATGTCAGTCACGAGCAACCTTCATCTATTTGGCAGTAAGTTGCACGCCTTTTTGGACTTGAGTAACCTTCATCTTTTTAAATTCGGTGCAAAAGTTTTAGTTAATGTTCATGCCGTCTCATTTGGGCAGCTGTGGAATTCCTGAAATTCTGGCCCGCGGACGAAAATCTCAATGTAGGATTGGGCACGGACAGCGTGATCGACCCTCTGAGGATGTCCAAAAACCAAAATCCGACCCCCTCGGCCCAAAAAGGTCTAACATCTCTGCCTTACAGTCCCCACTGCATAAGCACACCTGAAGTTTATACGTTTGATCGCTACCCTTCAATCATGACTTGGCTACACATTTTTAGTGCAACTCTAAACCAGAAATTCAACAGAAATTTTTTTTTAAAAAGTCGACAAGACTTGAATTTCGTTTAACCCGTTTTCCTGGAAAACAATACATCGTCCCGATTGCCTGATTTCCGAGAAATACAAAATTACCAGTAAGCAAATAGATACTGTAGGAATCTGAACTGATGATTCATTATTTCCAAGGAAAGCCCACGGATGCTGACTAGCTACACATCTGGATGTCTGGTGCATCTTCGATACATTGTACACATCCGGATGTTCAGTGAATCTTTGTTACTTCATTTCACGTCTGATATGTTAAGTTTATTGCTGTCATATCTGCACATCTGGATGTTTTAATGGACATCAATCGAATATCACTCTGAATTCATATCACCTCACCCCATCCCCTCACCTCATCGTATCACCTTATCACCTCATAACATTATCTCGCATTATCTCATAACCTCACATCATCACGTCATCCCATCACATCACCCCATCAACCCATACACTGACCCCTATATCCCCAATCACCTAATATTATCACCTCCTCATCACCACACCCCATCATCTCACCCCATCACGTCATTCCATCACCACACCCCATCATCTCACCCCATCACGTTATTCAATCACCACACCCCAATCATCTCACCCCATCACGTCATCCCATCACCACACCCCTACACCTCATCCCATCACCACACCCCATCCCCTCACCCTATCACGTCATTACATCACCACACCCCATCACCACACCCCATCACCACACATGCCCGGCAATCACAGAAAAGCCTACTCTGTTTAGTCAGTTTATCTATCACCACACCCCATCACCACACCCCATCACCACACCCCATCACCACACCCCATCACCACACCCCATCACCACACCCCATCACGTTATTCAATCACAACACCCCATCATCTCACCCCATCACGTTTTTCAATCACCACACCCCATCACCTCACCCCATCACGTCATTCCATCATAACACCCCATCACCCCATCCTGTCACCTCACTCAATCACATCACCTTATCACCTCACCCCATCACGTTATTCAATCACCACACCCCATCATCTCACCCCATCACCTCACCCCATCACCTCACCCAACACCTCATACCATCACCTCACCTCATTACATCACCTCATCACCTTTTTCCACGTAAAAAAACTCGTCCCCAGTCTCATGTTGTTTACTAACAATAATGCATGTGGCCTTGTTTTAAAGTAGACCAAAGCTTGTCTTGTGTAGACCGCTCTGACCCTTCTAACCTATTTACTGGGGCTGGCTCGTTAGTCTTATTTTGAGAACGCAACACAGACACAAAAATCTAGTTGCTAGTAAATAAAAGTGCATGATGTTCACTAGCACGTAATGGCGGGTCGTGTTGGTGGAACTACTCACTACTCACTGCTGTCATGTAGTGAACAAAATAAGACCCCAACAAATATTACGGTTTGGTGCACACGTTACAGCAAACAACCAAATTAATACATCTACCGTTATTAACATGAAATGTTTTTTAAAAGTTTGTAAAAGTTTGTAGTTTAATTTTTTTCACGTATTCTGAGCCTGAATTCGGCCATTATGAACACCATTTATTGATGTTCACGTCCAATGGTGGACTGGCCAGGGTGTCAGCTTGTCCCCCCTCCCCCCACTACCTCCCCTGATGAGGTGGCCCAGCGGCGAAGCTAAGGTAAGTGCCCCCAAGATTTGTGCCGCAGAACAACATGAAAACATTCTGCAGTTGTCCGAAAAAAGCCACCCCTCCATTTATAAAAGAAAAAAAATGCTGCCCAGGGTGGACCCTCCCTCCCTATTCCAGTGCCAGGGACAGTGCCCCCCCCCCCACCCTTTTAAATATTAAACACTATTTTGGTCCCATTTTATGAACATTTTATACTCTTATAGTACTCTATGACACCCTTTCTAATTTCCCCTGTAGTCCGCACTACTAAGCTGGAATTCTCGATGATAGTACGGCAAATTAAGATGTAAGCTTTTGATACCAGTATGCAGTACGATCCGTTTTTGTGTTGTCTCTTATCCACAGAATGGCAATGTCGTAACGGAACAATGACTTGGCAACACTGGAAAGCGGCTGTTTGTCTACCGCTCGATTGGTTATTTCGTCACACGTGCAGGGTACACTCAACAACACTTTCAGAAACCTTGCATAAAAAGTATTCATATTTGAAATAAGCATCGAATTATACATTTTCATACATTTTTCTACATTAACTTCCAGGTACAAGAGGAACGGAAATAAGGATAAACTCAGTGGCATCGTGGGGATTCTCCCTTTTTCTTTTGCCATCTCAACCGAACAATAAAACAAGACGAAAATGGCCGCTTCTTTCCCGGAAATCATCGCCAAGAAACGAGACGGGAAAGAACTGAATGATGAAGAGATCAAGTCGTTTGTCAGCGGCGTCACCGAGAGCTCCTTGGCAGAGGCACAGATTGGTAAGAGGGGGCTCAAACAATTGTAGGCGGTTGTGATCAAACGCTTGGCTAATATCACAATGACACAACAATTTTCTCTTTTGATTCATAACACACCGTTTAGTTGTTGTAGTTTTTTTGCCCAGAAAACAGCGATTGCGTGTACAATTCATTAAACAACATTACTACAGTCAATCAAATATGAGCCCGTATTTTTTGATGATCAACAATTTGACATAATTTAAACATTTGGTGCTTCATTCAGTGGTTCATTGGTAATGTTATGTATAACGTTTTACACGATTTCCCCGTGCGTGAACTTTCCTTGACCTTAAATTAGATTCTTAAGCAGAGGCTCACTTCATAGATGGGCGGGGCTAGTTCTTTTGATCTATCGTGTTTACCAATTAAACATGGTTAGACTGTCTCCTGGTATCTTTTTGAATGATCTTGATTTGTTCTAGAAATGTAAACAAATGCTGAGTAACTTCTGGAAGGCAGGGCTTACGCGTCGGTAGACCAATATATAAAGGATTGACAGGCACACAGAGGGACGGAGCTTTAGATAGAAATTATTAACTTTACGAGGCGTGTATTATTATTTGTGTATTAGTGTGCTCATATGTGTTTATTTCGCATTCATCATTTGTAATTGGCACATTTTATTAACTGTGTACCGATACAAGATCTACCATACTGTAAGTTAATGATTTGTAAGGATATTTCTTTTGTTTCGTAATTACATTAATACTTAATAAATCTTATTAATTGTAACTAGCAACTGTTTTGGGCGTCGTATCTTTAATATTGTTGACTCTATGGTATGGTCCTTTGTTAGGCACTGTTTGAACGAGCCATAAAATTAAAAATAAGAGATTAATTTCTCACAAGAGAAGCCAGTGCGCAACAGTAATTTAAAATGAATTATTTTGAGCTGAAGCCAAAGATAAACGAAAATCTCATACCAGAGGATTTTGGCCATTGAAAGAAATCCCAAAGTGCTAACTATACCCGTCAGCGTGATAAGAAGGTTATGACACTAACGAGCTAAATGGTTAAGAACACATGTACTAATGCATATTATTTCTCAAATGTTGCGTTCTGAAGGCTCTGCAAGGGTGTCTGGGAGTGAAGGGGTCTCAGTCTTGTCACCTAGCTTAAAGTGTATAGGGCAATCGTATTAACATCTCTCCAATATGCTTTCGAGACTTGTACGGTTTACAGCAGACATGCTAGACAACTAACAATCTCCACCTTTCGATGTATACTCTACGCAATCTTCCTGGCATAAGATGGCAGGACAACGTACCTGATACAGAAATCATAAAACAGACTGACTTTATCAGCATTCACACGATCCTTAAAAATAAGGCAAGACTTTTGGGCAGGACAAGCTGGTGAGACAGAATTACTGTTGGAGCACAGACGGACTCACTGTATGAGCACAGACGGACTCAATTTTGGAGCACAGACAGGCTCACTGTTGGAGCACAGACAGACTCACCGTCGGAGCACAGACAGACTCACTGTCGGAGCACAGACAGACTCACTGTCGGAGCACAGACAGACTCACCGTTGGAGCACAGACATACACACTTTTTGGGCACTGTATTTATAGATTAAACGCACAGCTCTCGCCCAAATAATGAGCACAGCAAATCAAAATAATGTAGAATCGCCTCAAATCGAACCAGAACCAAACAAAAAAACAACGGATGTCTCGTACATGCGGGAAAGCTTTCCAGGCACAACTAGGACTGGCATAGCAACCTGCGTACTGAAGGATGACCAACATTATTTCACTTAAATGTTTCATGTAAAAAAAATAAATCTTGATGGAGTCAGTGGAGTAATTAAATGTTTATTGGTTGGTGGGTCGACAGAAGTAGTATAGTTATTTGCAACAAGGCCTGAAAATTAATTATATTTTTAAAAGCCAGAGATAAATTTATACAGTGTTAAAAAGACGCGTTTACTACCCAAAAAAAAAATCGAACTTTTGAATTACAGATGATTTCAACTCATTCAAAGCTAGGACTGCTTCGCCAATGGGTCTCTCTTTTTTTCAGTCACGCTGGACACCTTATGGGGTCACGACTTTAATTTAGAACATTTCACATGGAATCAGTGATCTTAAACGAAAATGCCCTTACAGCAATAGGTCATAGACCATAAACACAACTGTCCATTGTAACTATAGACCATAAATACAACTGCCCATTGTAACTATAGACCATAAACACAACTGTCCATTGTAAATATAGACCATAAACACGACTGTCCATTGTAACTATAGACCATAAACACAACTGTCCTTTATAACTATAGACCATAAAACACAACTGTCCATTGTAACTATAGACCATAAAGACATCTGTCCATTATAACTATAGACCATAAACACAATCGTCCATTGTAAACATCGGCCATAAATACAACTGCCCATTGTAAACATAGACCATAAATACAACTGATTATTCCAAATTTCCCACTTCCTCACAGGAGCGATGCTGATGGCCATTTATATCAGGGGACTCTGCAGACGAGAGATCGCATCACTGACCCGGGAGATGACTCACTCGGGCACAACGTTGACCTGGCCCAGCGAGTGGTCAGGTCGACTTGTGGATAAACACAGTACTGGAGGGGTCGGCGACAAGGTCAGCCTGGTCTTGGCCCCAGCTCTAGCGGCATTTGGACTAAAGGTGCCTGTGCTGTTGGCTCATTATTACGTTTTGGTTATAATGGCTTACGTCATCAGCTGATACATTAGTCTCTTTTTAAAAAAAAAAACTATTTATATTAACTTCCATTTTGTGAATGGGTGGCTGACTGAGTGGCAAAATCTTCGGTCGGCTAATTGACCCACTTCCCGTCAACCTAGCGAGCTCAAACTTGACACATTGTTTCGTTGCCAATGAAAACGTGTTCTATCAGATTTTCAGCCCCCCTTTTCCTTTTGATCGATATTACATTGATAAAGTATTAATAAGGCATTTGTGTTTCAAGGGTTTTTTTTAACTGCAGTTTAAAATTAGATTTTATTATGTGATCTTTTATAAGTGCACTTAGGATTATTTATTTTACGGCACCATCTTTATCAAGTATGAAAAGAATTCACAAATGCAAAATGACCGACTGATTTCAAAATAATATAATGGGCATCTTCCATTACAAGATATTTACTCTTATAATCAAACCATGCATGATTTTTTGAGAGGGTCCAGTTTTGTTGAACGCAGGTCACACAATTTCCTAAAAAAATCATGTTTCTGTCTAAGGTCCCCATGATCTCTGGCCGAGGATTGGCTCACACCGGAGGGACACTGGACAAGCTGGAGGCCATACCCGGGTTCAGAGTAGCGCTGTCGGCCCAAGAGATGGTGGACATACTCTCGTCTGTCGGCTGCTTCATCGCCGGGCAGACGGGGGACATCTGTCCAGCCGACCGGAAGACGTACGCGATACGTGACGTCACGGCAACAGTTGACGACATAGGGCTAGTCACGGGTGAGTTGACCAAAGTGTGGAATGTTGAATGCTTTTCGTGTTTGGTTGTTGTTGTTGTTGTTGTTTTTTTGTTGTTTTTATATATGTGTGTGTGTGTGTGTATGTATGACTTGAACACCGTCAGTTTTAAAGGGTTTTAACAATTTTCCGTCGTGCTCACCTCTAATAGCCTACCATTAAATAAAATACAGATCTTTAAGCGAGTGGTACAACGGCTTCACTAAATTCTTTGCCAATGATGATTGTTACCAAATTCAGATTGCTTTACAAGTTTATGTTAGCGTCTAGAGTGCCTAAAATATTTATTATTATTATTATCATTTAAGACTTGCGTTATTTTAGCATCCATTGTATCCAAGAAGGCTGCGGAAAATATTGACGCTCTTGTCCTGGACGTGAAGACTGGAAGTGGGGCTTTCTTCGCGGACACTGAGAGGGCTGCAAGACTGGCGGAATCTATGGTAAGTCTGTGGATTTAAGCCCTGGATAAACAGTTTAAGGTGTGAGAAACAGTTTAAGGTGTGAGAAACGGTTTAAGGTGTGAGAAACAGTTTAAGGTGTGAGAAACGGTTTAAGGTGTGAGAAACGGTTTAAGGTGTGAGAAACGGTTTAAGGTGTGAGAAACAGTTTAAGGTGTGAGAAACGGTTTAAGGTGTGAGAAACGGTTTAAGGTTTGAGAAACAGTTTAAGGTGTGAGAAACGGTTTAAGGTGTGAGAAACGGTTTAAGGTGTGAGAAACGGTTAAAGGTGTGAGAAACGGTTTAAGGTGTGAGAAACAGTTTAAGGTGTGAGAAACGGTTTAAGGTGTGAGAAACGGTTTAAAGTGTGAGAAACGGTTTAAGGTGTGAGAAACAGTTTAAGGTGTGAGAAACGGTTTAAGGTGTGAGAAACGGTTTAAGGTTTGAGAAACAGTTTAAGGTGTGAGAAACAGTTTAAGGTGTGAGAAACGGTTTAAGGTGTGAGAAACGGTTTAAGGTGTGAGAAACGGTTTAAGGTGTGAGAAACGGTTTAAGGTGTGAGAAACGGTTTAAGATGTTGGGAAACCGTTTAAGATGTTGGGAGACAGTTTAAGATGTTGGGAGACAGTTTAAGATGTTTGAAAACAGTTTAAGATTTTGGGTGACAGTTTAAGATGTTTGGAAACAGTTTAAGATGTTTGGAAACAGTTTAAGATGTTTGGAAACAGTTTAAGATGTTTGGAGACAGTTTAAGATGTTGGGAGACAGTTTAAGATGTTTGGAAACAGTTTAAGATGTTTGGAAACAGTTTAAGATGTTGGGTGACAATTTAAGATGTTGGGAAACAGTTTACGATGTTGGGAAACAGTTTACGATGCTGAAAAACAGTTTATGATGTTGGTAGACAGTTTAAGATGTTTGGAAACAGTTTAAGATGTTGGGGAACATGATTGAGAAACAGTTTAAGATTTTGCGAAACAGTATGAGGCTTTGAGAAACAGTTTAAGATGATGCGAAACATTTTTCACATGTCGAGGAAAAAGTTTAAGATTTTGAGAAACATGTGTTTCCGTGAGAATTTTGGAAATACAAATACATGATTGAAAACAACTGGCTCCTACTTCTGAACTTTTAAAAACTAAGAGAATGTAAAAAGTGTGATCAAGTTCTAATCTAGAATCTTGGTAGACAGGCAGTCAATGGCTACATGTGTTGATCTGAGGACGGTGTGACATTGAGTGGGAACAGACATTGGCCCACTTTATTTTTTGAGGGAAATGCTATCGGGGACATATTTAGGGTTGGTGTCACCAGGGGTGACGTAGCTAGGGTTGGTGTCACCAGGGGCTAATCGTAGAAAAACCCTTCGTAATTGGCCACAAAGGTCGTATTTCCATATATGGAGAGAAGAAAGTGTCGTCCTAGACCCCACCCTTCCTACGCCCCTGTATGCTAGTCCTCTTAGGAGTTGATTTCTTGTAAATTGTCTGAGATCTAAGCTTTATGGACCATAAGCTAATTGACAAGCCTTCTTTTAAAGGCTAACGGAAGAGACCAATCTGTACTTAATTTGATATCTTTTATACCAGTAGTATCTTATGGGCACTCTTGACAAGTGTGGTGGTTTCATATGTTCAGGTTTCCTGTAGCCAGAATCTCGGCACGAAGACCGTCGCTTTGCTGACTGACATGGATTCGCCCATTGGGAACATGGTAGGCAACGCCCTTGAGGTGGTCGAGTCCATCTGGTGTTTACAGGGAAGAGGTCCTCGTGATCTGCTGGATCTGACCTGCAGTTTAGGTAAATCGTGGTTTTTCTTTTATACTACCCTGCCGTCCTGTTCGAGGTTTCTAACCAATCAATAAGCCTTAAACGGGACCTACAAAAGGAAGCCTCTTCTAATGTTTGTACATTTGTTTCTTATAAGCTATATTATCATTTTCTATAGACGTTATATATTTCATAAACTACATATGCAGTGAAGTCGTATTCTTGATAGTCACTCTTAGTCACTCACAAAAGATTCGTGTTAATCAAAGGCGCAAGTGCCGCCCGGGACGGGTCCATATTTTTGCCACGAAAGAAAACTCTGAAATTGGCCGAAAATGCCAGCCTTCCATTTAAAGAAAAAAAAGTATCGCCTTGTTCGGACCACCCCCCCCCCCCCCCCTTCGAAAACCCCCCTCCCGTCCCCCCCCCCCCTTTCCGAACCCCCATTCTTTCGCCAGTGGTATTTACTTAAATCAAGAATATGATCAACTCTGATCAATCGCCAGGTGGTCATCTACTTCATGCCGGGGGTTTTGTGGACAGTGTCACTGTCGGCGTAGAGAGCGTTCGAAATCAGATTGACAACGGGCAGGCTCTGTCCAAATTCCGTGACATGTTGAAAGCCCAGGGTGTGGAGCGGCAGCTGGCGGACGATATCTGTGACCCGGGCATTGATCCCCGGAGTAGGCTACCGCAGTCGAAACACAAAACAGAGTTCACGTGCGTATCGTCAGGTAACTCTATAAAATTAAATCTAACATTGTACATGGAACACCTAGACGTAAGCCAAGATACAGTCTAACATTGTACAGAGGTCATCTAAAGTAAGCCAAGATTAAGTCTATCATTGTTCACGGACCATTTAAAAGTTTTCCAAGATAAAGTCTAATATTTAATATGGACCATCTAAAAGTAAGCCAAGATTAAATCTAACATTGTTAATAATCCATCTAAAGTAAGCCAAGATTACCTCTAACGTTGAACATGGGCCAATTAAAAGTAAGCCAAGATTAAGGCTCACCCTTAGGCTATGGATGGACAGACCTGGAGTCTTTTTACTCTACTTAGTTGTTTTTTGTTTTTTTTGGAAAAGGGGGGCGGGGGGTTAAATAGAAAACCTTTATATTCGTTGACCATGAGTTTCATTAAGGAATTCCTTGAACACATGTTGCGGTTTAGAAAAAAATCTTCTCGTTAAAACAGACCTTAACAATTGGTGAGGGTTTTAGTAGGATCCAACCAGCAGATCAGAGTTAGTAAAGACCTAACCAGTAGACGAGGATTGGCATAAGTCCTAACCAGTAGATGAGGGTTGACAAAGGTCCTAACCAGTAGATGGGGGTTGACAAAGGACCTAAAGAGTAGATGGGGGTTGCCAAAGGACCTAACCAGTAGACGAGGATTGTCACAAGTTCTAACCAGTAGATGGGGGTTGACAAAGGACCTAACCAGTAGATGGGGGTTGTCAAAGGAGCTAACCAGTAGATGGGGGTTGAAAAAGGTCCTAACCAGTAGATGGGGGTTGTCAAAGTACCTAACCAGTAGAGGGGGTTGTCAAAGGACCTAACCAGTAGATGGGGGTTGACAAAGGACCTAAACAGTAGATGGGGGTTGCCAAAGGACCTAACCAGTAGACGAGGATTGGCACAAGTTCTAACCAGTAGATGGGGGTTGACAAAGGACCTAACCATTAGACGAGGATTGGCACAAGTTCTAACCAGTATATAGGGGTTGACAAAGGTCCTAACCAGTATATGGATGTTGGCAAAGGTCCTAACCAGTAGATGGGGGTTGACAAAGGTCCTAACCAGTAAACGAGGGATGCCATATGACCTAACCAGTAAATCATGGTTGGGTTCTTTTTACCTCAACTTGCACAACCAGGTTTATTTGAGAAGATCAATCATTTTCGAATATTCCACCAATTCAGAATGAGCTATGCTAATTTTTAATTCCGATCTGAAAAAAATAAAATAATTGGACTATTCCAAACCAATGGGCGCACTAATTAGCATTTACGGTTTAATAGTTGACAACCGCATTGGTTGGTATCTTGTACTCATTACGAACAGCCTGATCACGTGACCCAATCTGACTATCCCCCGTTGACAGGTTATGTTAGACGTGTCGATGCCATGGACATTGCCGTGGTTTCCCACAAGCTGGGGGCCGGTAGAAACCTGCCAGGGGAGCCTGTCAACCTGGCAGTTGGTCTGGAGCTTCTGGTGGACATCGGGGACCAGGTCCAAACAGGTTAGGCTAGTTTCAACTTCATCGGGGGTCTCGTTTGAACGTCTCGGTGTCTATGTTCTTAGTTAAATGGGCTCCAGTATTCGATCATACGAATCCCCACAAATCATTTCATGCGAATACAAGTCGTCACGAATTAAAAAATAGTAATAATTAAACTTATATTGTTAATTTACCATAAATCAGAGTTCGCAGGCTATTTTTTTTTAAAAGGTGATTTTACGGCTTATGGTGGCAATGAGAAAAATGAAGCCATGAAAATGAAAAACTTCTAAAAAGTATTATTTTACTTAAGCTTTTTATTAGATATGGGCCTATATACTAATTCAAGTTTGAAATCTTTTCTTACACGTTGAGTGAAAATCATCATTTAATATTTGTATGCAGAGATAAATAATAATGTTGACCAACGTCGATTGTTTACAACTCATGATTTCATTGAAAGTTGTTATTGTTATTTTTAAATAACATATTACACTAAAACATTATCAGGAAATTGAAAATTGTAAGTTATTTTCGCCAAATTTTGGTCTACACAATGGTAATGCGCTTGCCCCCTCCCACAGGGTTAATGCTCTCGCCCCCTCCCTAAGAGTAATGCTCTCGCCCCCCCCCCCAAGGGTAATGCTCTCGTGTTATTTTCGCCAAATTGTGGTTTACACAATGGTAATGCGCTTGCCCCCTCCCACAGGGTTAATGCTCTCCCCCCCTCCCTAAGGGTCATGCTCTCGCCCCCCCCCCCAAGGGTAATGCTCTCGCCCCCAGGGGTAATGCTCTCGCCCCCCAAGGGTAATGCTCTCGCCCCCAGGGGTAATGCTCTCGCCCCCCAAGGGTAATGCTCTCGCCCCCAAAGGGTAATGCTCTCGCCCCCAAGGGTAATCCTGTTGCTACCCCTACCTAATCCTGTTACGCTAGTTAATTCTTGGTATACATGGGCCATTAGAAGTTTCTTAATACATTTGACAGTAGTCCGTTTAAGGCCCTTGAAGCATTCATAATTATAGTATTTAAAACAAATATTTATTTTTTTACAGACCAAGCTTGGGTCAGACTTTACCATGACGAGCCTCTTTCTGACCACGTGACTGACCGTCTGAAGAAGGCCCTAGAAATAAGTGGAGAGTTTGTGCAGCGTCTCGTCTCTAGAGTACAGCGTGTGATTGGGGAATAACGGTGGCAACACCATACTCTAGATTATAGAGTGTGATTGGGGAACAATGGTGGCAACATTAGACTCTAGATTACAGAGTGTGATTGGGGAACACAATGTTGAACTTAAACAAAAATAACACAAATATGACGGTATATGAAGTGGTGAAAAGTGGTAGAACGAAGCAAAAGTGCGCCAAACTTTAATCAGAATGATAAACAACTATTTAAACTTTGAATACCGGGAATTCAAGCCTGCTAACTTCACTAATGAATGATGGACCTCACGTGACAGGTTGCCTTGACAATGTCCGAGGAGTTCATTTGAACGAACGGCCAGCACTCGAGAGTTTTCACCTGTCATCTGGCCCCTTTGCCCCAACACTTGCTTTGTAATTCTGATTGTGTATATAACATCGAATTCATCCGTCATACGGAAGTCTAGTCGGGGATGGTGATACATGCAGTTTGCATGAACTCACGGAAGTCATGTGCCTTATATATATATACATATATAATATATACCGGTGATTTTTGTTGTGAGAAATTCTCATTGTTGTCAGCTAACAGCATTTGACCCAATATTCCAGCAATTGGTAGATATTTTCTTATTTGTTTGCATCTTTGACATTTTTAATTTGTCATAGCACATACAAATTACCGGTGTTTTATTTTTTGGCTGGATTAGTGCAGGACACCTTCTGTTATTTTAGTCGTAATTAGAGTAGTCAAGATGCCTCGGGAATGTGTTATTGTTGTAAATTGAGTGGGCAAGACGGCTTCAGGAAATCGTTGTAGATGTAAATTAAATCGAGCAGGCAAGATGCTTTCGGAGATTTTTTTTAGCAAATGTGTTAACTTTTGTTGTTGTTGTTGTTGTTGTACTGCTTAAATTCTTCCGTGTGCACCAGGTGTTGAATTTGATTATAGCTTTCCTGCTGCTGCAGATATTCTGTTGCTCTCACTGTTTGGAGATATTCTGTTGTTTTTTTTAAGCTGTTATTTTTTGGAAGGCTGGCAAAAATAGTACGTACATACCATGCATTCACTACCATTTGAAATGTTCTGTCGTTGTAGACATACTTATCCTAGATATCTGAATGGTATACATTTAAATATGTAAATGAAGAATGAAGGGTATACATTTAAATATGTAAATGAAGAATGATTTGTATGGTCAAATAAAGAATAAATAAATATTATTTTTTTACCATTATGGCTTTCATCAACCTCTCCAACTTTGGGTTCAGAAGACCAAGAAAAAGAAAATCGGGTTTATTCGCATTTTTAAAAAGCATTTTTTTTTATTGTGGGGTTGAGGGGAAATATGTTCCCAAATTCGAGGTGGATGTCAGGGAAATGTTTTGTTAGCAGGGAATGGGAAGGGGAAGGGGGATGTGCTGTAACACAAAAAAGTTTAAGAATCCCTAGAGTATAATATATATATCATGATGGCTTATCTTTGATATATTTATCCAAAGAGATAAGCAATTACAATGTTATATTCCGAGGTTAACACTATTTAATGGCTGTACTGGGTGGGGAGCCGTCAACTCACGGCTGAGGTCAAGGATCATGACGCTGACATCTATGACCTCGCCAATGACCTTTCAGTTGACCTCAAACAGGCCTCCTCGTTCAACCCGGCTATTGCATAGAGTTGTGATATCAAACCGGTGTTACCGTTATCAGGTAACATGTCCGAAACTGTACAGCCACACGGGGTGGTTAGGCCAATCCCCTGAGCCAGGGATTCCAAAGCCTGTCGGGATCACCCTCAGTGATTACTTCAAAATTTTCCCCGGGGGGGGGTGGGGGGGGGCACTTCAGACTTTTTTTCAGATTTTTTTTTGGGGGGGTGGGCAGTGCCATCAGTGCCCGTTGATTTATTGTTGGATATATTTTTGCTCCGGGGGCACTTGGCCGCCCCCCTCTCCCCGGAGATATAGCTGAAAGAAACCCTGATCACCCTCCCCACACCCCACCCCACACACATACACCGGGATGCAGCGATGTGGTATATGATTGGGGGGGGGGTGTTTGCCAGGAAGGGTGATTATAAGAACAGAGGTGTCATTGACTTTATATTTGTGCTATAAAATAATGTCAATATAATTTCTTCTATAACATGTCACTTTGTATAATAAATTACAGATTATAAATTTCTCTTTGAAACTAAAAAAAATTGTGTTTGTTTGATTTTTCAAAGTTACAATTTGTTATTATTTAGACTTTCTTTAAGTGTTGGGGACTGTCAAACAATTGGCAAAAGGTTGGAGGCGGTCCGGTGACGGGCAGCACGCTTTGTCCTGAACCGCTACAGGAATACCTCTAGTGTTGGCAGCATGCTGGAAACACTAGGCTGGTCACCATTGGAGGAACGACGACGACAATCCAGGATCTCCATGATGTACAAGATAAATAATTGGCTGGTCCACTGCTCTAGTATTAAACAGAAACCCGTCCCTCTCCCCCCACAGACAGCGACGAAGCCATGACAGGCAATTCCGGCTCATACCGGAAGAAGCCAGTGTAGGAGCTGCTAATTCCTGCCCAAGACAATCAGGGACTGGAAGAAGCTTTCAAAAGGAACAGTTGAGGCGACAACACTTGACACATTTACGTCTTTTGCCTCAGACCTTCCAACCCCTATTACATGATACTCTCACTAAGTGACCCTTGCACCAGTGAAATACCCTCATCAACACCAGGCACAGAAACATTGCAGTTCCACTCTACATGCATAGGAGCCAAAATGATCAATAAATTGATCGTGGGACCTTAAAATATAGAAGAAGAAGAGAGGGGTTTGGAATAGCCTAGGCAATAGATAAAGTCAGAATCTTTAATACAATTGTCAAAACAGTCCTACTATACGGTGCAGAAACTTGGAAAACAACAGTGAGCCTTATGCAGAAAGTGCAGACATTCAAAAACACATGCCTTAGAAAGATCCTGAAAATCAAATGGCCAAATACTATCACCAACAAAGATCTACTAGAAATGACATACCCATTGCTGAAGATATCATAAAAGAGATGGAGGTGGATAGGGCATACTTTCCGAAAACCCCTGGATAGCACCATCAGACAATGCCTAACATGGAACCCACAGGGAAAAAGAAAGAGAGGAAGGCCTAAGAATAAACGGAGACGCGAGCTAGAGGCAGACACGCAAAATATGGGATACACCTGGAAGCAATTGGAAAGGAAAGCACAGGACCATGATGAGTTGAAAATTCCTCTAGACGGCCTATGCCCCAGACGGGGTAGAAAGGCATACGAGAAGAGAGAAGAGGAAATAGATAATAGATAATGCCAGTATACGTTGCATGAGAATTTTCTACTCTGATTCGTGTGTAGAACTCATCCATAAAACACCAACAACACATCAAAGCAAGTAATCAATTTAATTTTTATTGAATATTAAAACAGATCACATGACAAAAATCATCAACACCAGTAACAGAAACATTGCAAATCCCATCTACATGCATAGGAGCCAAAATGATCAATAAATTGATCGTGGGCCCTTAAGATATAGAAGAAGAGAAGAAGAGGAATGTTAATAAAAAATGTGTGCAGTAAGTTGTGTAACAAATCAAATTGCGACAATACTCTGAACAACAACTGACATCTACTTGTCACACTTCATTTGAGGACGGATTTGAGAAAGAGCGGATCCTCTATTCCCACTCAGCGTCATCGTCTGACTCGTCGTTGAGGCTTCCGCCTGGGACGACCTCATAGTCAGCAAAGCCGTCGTCCTGGCGTAGGGCTGGCGAGGCGGTTGTCACGGTAACGGCGGGGTAACCTTTACCTAAACGAGAATTGAAACACAAGCCCCAATGATCAAATAGTAGGTCTTTTAAAATTATTTTGTTTAGAAAGTGTTTTCAGATTAAAGTAACACAATGGATGTGCTTCAAAAACACAGACCATACACTGTATTTGTGTGAAGTCGTCAATCACGTGACCTCCATGTACGTTATAATCGAAGCTTGGTAAATTAAGATATCTCACAGACTTAATGAAATAAAAAGACGTAATATGGACTCAGTGACGGAAAGCAAAAGTGAGAAAGTTTTGAAATTGACAGATAAGCAAGCAGAGGTAGAGAGAGAGACAGAGAGAGAGAGAGAGAGAGAGACAGAGACAGAGAGAGAGAGAGAGAGAGAGAGAGAGAGAGAGAGAGAGAGAGAGAGAGAGAGAGAGAGAGAGAGAGAGAGAGAGAGAGAGAGAGAGAGAGAGAGA